CCCCTTATGCAAATACAATGCAAATCACCACCGGTAGCTCCGCCTTCTTCATTAATTCCGCCGAAAAGGCGGGGTTATGCAAATAGACGATGACGTCACGTCGCCCAGAGGCAGCCCTGCCAGCGCCCTCACTGCGCATGCGCTGCCTCACCCCTCGCGCTCTGATTGGCCGCGCCTCTCCTCTCTATGATCACCGCCCCCGCCAGAGCGGCTCCTCCCGTCTCTATGGCCGCCGCGCTCTCCCGCCGCCCCGCCGCGCTCTTCCCGCTCCCTCCCCGCTCCCCTCCCGCCCCCCGCGCTCCCGCAGCCCCGCGCTGCCCCTCAGCCCCGCCAGCGCGCTCCGCCATTTCCCCCCTCCTCCCCTTCCCCGAGTCCTCCAGGGCGGCCAGAGCGCCGCCGGAAGTGGAGGGCGCGCCCGGAAGCGGCGGGCGCTATAAAAGCAGCGCGCAGGCGCCCGCGGCCTCTTTCGGGCTCGCGGCGAGGTGGGAGCGCGGCGTGAGGGGAGCGCGGGCCGGGCCGGGCCGGGGCCGCCTCGAGGCCTCGCTCGGGCCTTTTTGGGGCTTTTTGGGTTAATTTGGGCCTTTTTGGGGTCCCCAACGCCGCCTTCTTGTCCCCCCGCAGGTCCCGGAGCCGCCATGGGCCGCCGGCCGGCGCGATGGTGAGGGCGTGACGTCAGAGCGGGGGGAGCGTGACGTGGCGCGGCCGCTGTGACGTCACTGGGGGGGTTAAAACGGGGCTGGGGGCGAGGGGAGGGCTGGGGAAAGGGAGGGTTTGGGGCTAAAGAGGGGAAAAATGGGGGTTAAAAGGGAAAGATTTGGGTTGGAAAGGGGAAAATTGGGGTTAAAAAAGGAAGGAATCGGGTTTAAAAGGGAAAAATTGGGGTTGAAAAGGGTCTGGGGGCTTCATGGGGGGGTTAAAGTGGGAATTTTTGGGGTTAAAATTGGAATATTTGGGGTTAAAGTGGAAAAATCGGGGTTAAAAAGGGAAAAATTTGGGTCAAAAAGGGAATATTTGGGGTTGAAAAGGGTCTGGGGGCTTCGTGGGGGTTCAAAAGGGAATTTTTGGGGTTAAAGTTGAAATATTTGGGGTTCAAGTGGAAAAATCGGGGTTAAAAAAGGAAAAATTTGGGTCGGAAAAGGAATAATTTGGATTTAAAAGGGAAAAATTTGAGGTTAAATGGAAAAATTTGGGTTGAAAAAGGGGGAAAATTTGGGTTGAAAAGAGAAAAAAATGGGGTTGAAAAGGGTCTGGGGGCTTCGTGGGGGGTTGAAAGGGAATAATTTGGGTTAAAAAAGGACAAGTTTGGGTTAAAAAGGGAATATTTGGGGTTTAACAAGGAAGAATTTGGGTTAAAAAGGGGAAAGTTGGGTCAAAAATGGGAAAATGGAGTGAAAAAGGGTCTGGGGGCTTCAGGGGGGGTAAAGTGGGAATTTCTGGGGTTAAAAAGAGAATTATTTGGGTTAAAAAGAGAATTATTTGGGTTGAAAAGGGTCTGGGGGCTTCAGGGGGGGTAAAATGGGAAATTTTGGGGTTAAAAAGGGAAAATTTGGGGGTTAAAAGGAATAATTTGGGTTAAAAAGGAATTTTGGGGTTTTTGGGATCGTTTTGGGGACAATTCAGGGGATTTTTGGGGATATTTTAAGGGATTTTTGGGGGGTATTTTGGGGATCAGTTTGGGGGTTTTTGGGATAATTTTGGGGATTTTTGGAGTTTTTTTAGGGATAATTTTGGAATTTTGGGGGGATAATTTAAAGTGGATTTTGGAGAATTATTTGGGTTAAAAAGAGAATTATTTGGGTTGAAAAGGGTCTGGGGGCTTCAGGGGGGGTAAAGTGGGAATTTCTGGGGTTAAAAAGAGAATTATTTGGGTTAAAAAGAGAATTATTTGGGTTGAAAAGGGTCTGGGGGCTTCAGGGGGGGTAAAATGGGAAATTTTGGGGTTAAAAAGGGAAAATTTGGGGGTTAAAAGGAATAATTTGGGTTAAAAAGGGAATTTTTGGGGTTTTTGGGATCGTTTTGGGGACAATTGAGGAGATTTTTGGGGATATTTTAAGGGATTTTTGGGGGGTATTTTGGGGATCAGTTTGGGGGTTTTTGGGATAATTTTGGGGATTTTTGGAGTTTTTTTAGGGATAATTTTGGAATTTTGGGGGGATAATTTAAAGTGGATTTTGGGGATTCTTTGGGGTATTTTAGGGGATTTTTTGGGATAATTTTGGGGATTTTCAGGGCTATTTGGAGGATTTTTTTGGAGATAATTTTGGGGATATTTTAGGGTTTTTTGGGATATTTTTGGGGAGAATTTAAAGGTTTGGGGGGAAAATTTTGGGGATTTTCAGGGATGTTTGGAGGATATTTTGGGGGATAATTTAGGAGATTCTTGGGGAGAATTTTAGGGTTTTTTGGAACAATTTTTGGGGATTTTCAAGGCTGGAGGATATTTTTGGGGTGTTCTGGGGGAGAATTTTGGGGACTTTTTTGGCATTTTTTTGGGACGATTTTTGGGGATTTTCAGGACCTTTTGGGGGATAATTTAGGAGATTTTTGGGGGTATTTTAGGGGTTTTTTGGGACATTTTTTGGGATTTTCAGGGCTGTTTGGAGGACTTTTTTGGGGGTATTTTAGGGAGAATTTTTGGGATTTTTGGGGTTATTTTAGGGGTTTTTTTGGGAACAATTTTTGGGATTTTCAGGGATATTTGGAGGATATTTTTGGGGGATACTTTTGGGGATATTTTAGGGGTTTTTTTTGGGATAATTTTGGTATTTTCAGGGCTGTTTGGAGGATATTTTTGGGGTGCTTTGGGGGATAATTTTGGGGATTTTTGGGGTTATTTTAAGGATTTTTTGGAACAATTTTTGGGGTTTTCAGGGATATTTAGAGGATATTTTTGGGGTGCTTTGGGGGATAATTTTGGGGATTTTTGGGCGACAGTTCTGGATTTTCCCGTTTTTAACCCTTTCCCCCCCAGTTACCGCTACTGCAAGAACAAGCCCTACCCCAAATCCCGCTTCTGCCGGGGGGTCCCGGGTGAGTCCTGACCCCAAAACCCCCC